GATCCACCCACCTCAGCCTTCCAAAGTGCTGGAATTACAGGCATGAGCCACCGCTCCTGGCCACCAGATTCTTATGAGGGACTCCCAGTGTTACAAAGTGCTTAGTAAAGGTGGCAAGTTTAAGACGTTTGTATTGATGCTCCCTAAATCTGTTGGTGGAGGGACCTAATGAGCCTGTTCTCTGGTGTGAGGGCAAAAGAAAAACAGACCCTCAGTGTCCTTTTCCTAAGTTAGGCATCAGCAAATTAATGAGGACAGAGAGGAGCATCTGCAGAAACTGCTGCTCTAGTTTAGACACATCCTGAATGCCTCCCTCTACCTCAAAATGAGCTGTGTGAAACTAGATTTCCGAACCACAAGAGAGGTGGAAAGTCTTTTCTAAAGTCAGATGTCGAGGAGAATCTTCATTTTGAGTCTAAAGTCCCCTTCAGGCCATTGAGTATACCCACTCTGATTTGCTGGGTATGTTCTACAGAGAAATCATAGAATTTTTGCACTTACGGTGGAAGAGTAGTCAGGAAAGTATATGGAATTCAGATACAGTGATGTATTTTCTTTAGAAAATTTTTTTTGCACGATAGCTTAACATAAACCTGATCTTGGCCAGGCATGGTGGCTCACACCTGTAACCCCAGCACTTTGGGAGGCTGAGGTGGGCGGATCACCTAAGGTCACAGGAGTTCGAGACCAGCCTGGAGGGGAGGTTGGAGTGCAGCCCACCTCCCAGGTTCAAGTCATTCTCGTGCCTCAGCCTCCCGATAGCTGGGATCACAGGTGCCTGCCACCAAGACCTGCTAATTTTTGTATTTTTAGTAGAGATGGGGTTTCACCATGTTGGCCAGGCTGGTCTCAAACTCCTGACCTCAAGTGATCCTCCCACCTCGGCCTCCCAAGGTACTGGGATTACAGGTGTGAGCTGCCACGCCCGGCCCCATACTTTGGATTTAACTTTGATTTCTGCTCATATGCAGAGTTTCTAACTGCTTAAATGTCTGCAATGTTTAGCTGCAAGGAAGGAAGCTTACACAAAGCCCTCCAGGGAGCAAAAAGCTGCACCACCACATCCAGCTAATTTTTTTGTATTTTTAGTAGGGATGGGGATTCACTATGTTGGCCAGGCTGGTGTTGAATTCCTGACCTCAGGCGATCCGCCCGCCTCGGCTCCCAAAGTTCTGGGATTACAGGCCTGAGCCACCCCGCCCAGCAACAAGACTAATTTGAGAGTCACTTCTTTGATGCCTTTTCTTGACCATGCCATAGGTCAGAACTAGGAGAAGCAGAGCAGGTCATATATAAGCTATGTACGTCTCTTGGCCTCTTTGTACCTTAGTTTCCCCATTTGAGAAAAATGAATGGATCTTAAGACATACTTTTCAAAGTTCATAATAGGCTTATACCCAGCTAACCAATAATTGTATGAGTTTTTATGCATAAATAGTTGTTTATATGTATTTATCTTCTATTTCACTTACAACTTGTGTAAAAACTGCATTCCGTGCCAGGCCTGAAATGTTCCAAAGCTCAGTTCTGTGAGTAAATTGCAACCAAGATTTCTACAAAAAAAGACACAAGCCAAAGAAAAAAAAATTATTTCAGAACATTTATCATTTGCCATGATTCTAATTTATATAGGATGGAACATAACCCCAATCCTTCCTGTATGCACTAAGGAAATCTCACTGTGGAAGATACTGGCTTATGATTTATACTTTAACATTGCACATGTGGTGCATTAGCTACAAAACAGTGAACGCTCAGTAAATACCTGTGTGAAGTGATCTTTATTTCTCTAGAACAGGATTTCACAACTTCAGTGCCATCGACATTTTGGATTCTATAACTCTTTGCCACGGGGGTTTGTTTTATACCTTGGAGGATGTTGAGCAGCATCTCTGGCCTTTGCCCACCAGATGCCAGGAGCACACCCACAGTTTTGTCAACCAAAACTGTCTCCGGACATTACCAAATGCCACCTGAGTAGAAAATCACACCAGCTGAGAACCACTGCTCTCTGATGATTCACTAAGATCTGTGTAATAATTCTCACACTAATCCTTGCTAGAGACAAAAAGGATTTGCTCTATAATTTTAGTAGCTTTCTACTGGTAAAACTTTAATCATATTTCAAAATGAATAGCAAAGAGGTTTATAATTTTTATAAAAATTCCAAATTTAATAAAGTCATATGTGTAACTCACGTAAACTGCAAAAATGGTAGTGGTTCAAATGTACATCTTTCAATAGACTGTATTTTATTGCAGGATAAATCTCTAGAAAAAGCAAAAGGAAAATATCGCCTTGGTTAGTTATTAAATGTCGATTAGTATGAATAATAGCAATAGTGTAGAATAATATTGAATACACATTTTTCATCTCAACTCTAAAGGTTTGGGCTTGGATTTGAACTTTCCAGAGCCCCTAACCCTGCCCTTACCTCTCCTAGAGTCTCACCTTCATGGTTTTCATAAATATACAACTTAATAGATTTTGGAATTAATTTTTCCTGAGAGCAGTAGACTTGATTAGATGCCCTTTAGTAGTCTCATCAAATCCTAGATTATGAGCTCAAAGTTTTTATCTCT